CTGAGGAAAGCTGGAGAGAGCTGTAAGGTCAGGCCACAGATCCTACTGAGCAGCCTTGGTGAGAGCTGAAGGTGGTGGAGAACCCCTTTCACACTCCTCTCCTATTGATTTTTATTCCCTCAGCAAGAGAGAGATGGTGTTTGAGTAAGGAATTAAGGACAGTAAGGAAAAGATTTTCCATCTAAAACAAAAGACTGGGTTTAAGCAGCTCCTTTAAAGTTTCTGTAGCTCAAGTCAGGCTGTAGTTACCAAATCCAATGCCCCATGTTCAGAGAAGGAGGGGATGGCTTCTGTTCTTCTATCATTTCAGGCAAAATATGCACATGCTCATTGCATGTTTCATATCCCATGTAATTAAGGTGATGAATATATTCCTTCTGCATGCAGAACCTCTTCTGAGCGAGAACTGGTACTGCTGTCATGGGAGAGGTTGCTTTCCAAAGAGGATAATCAGCACTCCCAGGAAAATCCCAATTCTGAAACTGCACACCCCAAACTGAGGTACCCAGGCCACCGGTGCTGTGCATTTTATGAGAGCAAGTGAGAGGTATGTTTACCTAAAATCATAAGCAAAATGATAATAAGGTGAATTACTGTGTGAAAAGTGCATTTTTTTGATGTTTAGATGCAATTTCCCCCCCCCCCCCCCCCCCCTTCAGCTCCCTAACTGGTTTGATGTGAAGCAATTATCTACTTCATGCAATTAAAGGTAAGATTTGCCATAAGATATGTACCAAAAAAGTAATTACATGTACCATAGCACAAAGAGGGACTTGAATGCAACTTTTGTCTTTGGGTCTCGAATAGTATACGTTTTCAATATACTAGCAAGTGTGGCAACCACTCCGTTGTTACTGTGGGATTGAATACAGCATTGTGACTAATTTAAAGTGCACTTTGCTTCTTGTTTCTGTTTGTATACAGGCAAAATTTAGAAGTAAGTGTCATGTATTAATATCGTTTCAGTTAGGGGCATGGGAGCATCACATCGGCCTTGTCCTTTCTTCCTCTGCCCCCTATTGAAGCTTTCTGTTCTGACTGATTAGGAATGCTGATACATTTCACCCTTTCCTTGTCTTCAAATTGTAGAGGGTTTGCAGAGGCAAAAAAAAATCGGGTGTCTGAGCTTACTATATGATTTCTTTGGCAAAAGAAGGTGTTTTCTTCAAGGGAATCTCCTTTTTTTCCAAAGAAAGTGTTTCTATTTTTTATCAGTAACAAGATGTTGACAAGTTTAGTCTTGTTTTTTTTCAGTTAAATACAACCATACACAGTATACATTTCTGAAGTATGAGGGCATGGCAAAATAGCTTGTGATTTACACTCAGACGAAGAACAAAACAACCTTCAGGCATAACATCATACCACTCCTATTTGCAACCTCTGAGGACACATCCCAGAAAGGTATGGCAATAAATATGCGTACATACATAACCCTGCCAGCTGTGGCTAGGTGATGAAAGCTCTAATACAGCAAACTAGATTACCAAAACCCCTCAAGAGGTTCAGGAAGGAGAATTCATCAATGCCAAATTAGGAACTTTTACATATCTCTTGAAAGATAGAACCTCATTATCCTCCTGATTTATGAAGCAACGTAATGACTGTAGACAGTATTGTCTAAAGACAACAATGAGCACTGCTATATCTCAGTAATAATTAGAGTCACATGAAATCTTCCAGGTTTTTCTTTATTGTTCTCCAATGATTTGTAATACAGGAGCGAAATACATTGCGCTTGGCAATCTAAAATGTAATGAAAATACGTGGCCCAAGTTGCTCCCATATTTAAAACTCGGATGGCAGTGCTGCCCACCAACAAAATAATAGTCATTTGTGGCAGGAATTATAAACCCTAAACCACAGCTCAAAGCGTTGTTCACCAAATTACTCTTTCCATATCCACAATTACAGCCATTTGTTTTCTTATACTGATAACAAAAGATCGGCATTTTAAGATCGGCGCTGTGCTACTCTTCCTTTAATAAATAAAGTGAGCTTTTCAAATGCAGTAAAATGGTGCAGATAGAAATCAAAACATTTCTACAGCTCAAGATTCAATCAAAGACTTGCCATGAATGGTGTTATATTAAAGTTAAAAAAAAATAATCAATTTAGTGTGTATTTTTGACCACGGTTTGTCACAAATAGCATTCCCAATAGATAAGAATGATTATATGGTAAAGAGCGTAATTTATATATCTCAAGCACTATGCTTTTGTCACTGCCATCGTTAAGGAATTTGACACGTTTGCAGGAGAACAATATATGTCAACTGAAATGTATACCAATTAGCCATAAATGGGACACTGAAATGAATGATGCATGTGCATGCTATACTTACAAGTAATAACATGTGGTTTAAAGTCGCTTGCGTTTTCAAACAAGAATTCTTTTTATGTTGTCATTTAAAAAATCTAATATTTCAAAAGGTCAGGAATAAATAGCACCATTAGCATTAAAAGCTAGCTAACGGGAAAGTAATTTGTTGTTCATTTAACATTGCATTTTATGTAATGGCTTTGTAAAGTGTTCGGAGAAGGGGGAGAGATTTTCACTTTGCTAAAACAAGATGACGGCAGCTCCGGTTCATTATTAAAAGGAGATTTTGTATTATGCTATTGTCAACTTTAACGTGTAGATTCTGTTAGGTGTTTGTTAAAATTACATGGGCTGCTGAAGTGGCTATGGCAAAGGATAATGCAGGGAATATCATGGCTGTCAAAACAATTGTGTAGGCAAGAATCTGCTTATACTAAAGTAAAGGAACAAAAGACAAAAGAGAAACTCTGATGCAGTGTTACGAAGTTAATAACCCTGTTGAAGTTTCCTCAGCAGGTGGTACTGAGATCAGGAAGGCAAATCCTAGAGGAGACAGATAGTCAAGGCAGAAGGAAGGAGGCATTGTCAAAGGGATACAGGGTACATGGAAACCCATCACATGCCAGCTCCTGTGCCTGTGCTTATTTTCCTCTCAGTAAACCTGTAATTATTCATCTCTCTGGAGTGGAGATGTGGGTTCCTCCTTGGGCTGGATACCATGAATGAAAGGTGAAAGCGTGTAGAATCCTGTGACTCGATACTCTGCCTCCTACCCTCAGCAACCCAAAACTGGACTTACTGCAACCTTATGCAGGACAAACAATTCACATCCTCAAAACTCATTAAGCCTTATTGTCTTACTCCAGCACTATAGGGCTGACCACAGATGGGAAAAACTGGAGCCAAAAGGAGTGTTAGATTGTACCCTTCACAAACAGTGTAGGATGGGAAGAAAACATGCAGAACATCTCTGCTGTGCTCTTGCTTGCTGCACAGGGAAGGAAGCAATGTAATGAGGGAAAGACACAAGTAATATCTTCAAGGTGGAAAACATCTTGTTTCCCTCTTGAGAAGCTGGAAAAGAAATTGGCTTAGCATTTAATACCCTATATATCTATGACAGTATAGCAAAGGTTGATTTCTTTACTAATTCATACGTTTATTCCCTATTAGCCTCCCTTGGGCAAGGTTTCAGGGGACTCAGAAAACAGTGATTCTCCAGATCTAAATGTGATTTATACTGTGCTCTCAGCGCAGCACAACTGGGTAGTGCCCTTTAATCTGGGTAAGAAGCATAAGTGTGATTTAGAAGGTTTTTAAAGTTAAAAGCAAACCTGTACATCTCTGACTAAAACTGAAATCACCAGGGGATATTCTCTTCAGCTGGGTTAAACCAAGGAACAGGTTAGTAGATGAGACCCTCACTGACATGATTTACTGGTGCTCCTACGTAATGGTTGGACTTGATGATCTTAAAGGTCATTTCCAACCTTGTTGATTCAATGATTTTATTTGAGCTCTGACCATGCCCATAGATTGCCAGTCGTGAGTGCTGATGGTTCTTTTTCTGCTCTTCACAGCCCGTCCTCCCTCCCATCACCCTGCCTTAGCTGGCAGAATGCACTGAGTTGATAAAACTGCTTTGTCTTCTGTGCTAGAAGAGTAGGCTCCACCACGGATGCACAGGTTTCAATCTTCACCCTGCAAGGGGAATCTGAAGGTTGATGTCCTTTAGGAGAAGACATTCTGGGGATGAAATGTCACACAGAGAGGCAGAAAGAGCAGACTGCCCCATTCTGGGGGACTCAAGAGAGACTGCTGAAAAGGTCCTGAGGAGCTGAAGGTCTCCAGGCCTCAGTAGTTTTATGGGGTTTTGGGGTTCCCCATTCTCACTGACCCCATTAGCCCACTTCTCCAACAGCAGGTTGAGGGAGCCAAGGTAGAATTATGTGGGGATGGAGATGAATTTGTGCTATCCACGCTTCAGCTGAATGTGTTTTTCAATGAGCAGGGAAATAGCAGCTCCCTCATTGCATTTACCTGTTTTGACCACATCCTCTGGCAGTTTTGTTGAAGACTGAGGGCCAGCACATGGGCTTTCAGGGCACTCTGGTGATTATTCTGCTTACAAGCATTTTAGGGAAACTTCACTAACATATGAATTTTTCCATGCAGCTTTCTCAAATCGGTTCTGTCCAGATCGTATGGTACAGGCTTTGTTCAGCAGTAACACACCAAATCACACCACCATCATGTTCACTTCCCATCTCTCACAGGTAATCAAAATCAATTTTGTCCTCATTTGTCACCACTTGCTCTCCTATCTCTGCTTCATCTTTGTCTTATGCCAATTCTGGGCTTAGCCTTCAGTTTGATTAGGAGAATCGGCTTCCTTAATCCTATCCTAGTCACAAGCAGGTCTGCTTCCTCTTGGTACTACCCAGGAGGTACTATCTGGATACTTGCCACCTTTCCTCCTCCTGAAATTAGTTTGAAATTGAACTTGGCTGAAATCAGGGGAATTCTTCAACAGGTTTTAGCTCATTCACTCCGAAAACTGTTTCAAAACTCCCTCTATAGAGAGGTATCCACAGACCTCACCCCCACCACCCAAAGCAGCAAAACACCCCAGCAGACACCACCAGGATTATGAGTTCAATGACTGCAGGAACCAGAGCTTTATACATGCTAGCTTTTATTGGTATCAAGGCTTGAGGTATTCATATGTGCTTTTAGCAAGCAGTAAGAGTCAGCAGAACATCCTCTCTCACCGTCTCGTAACCACAGAAACGGTATCTGAAAAAGTACAATATAAGCACCATGAGTTGTTGAAATTATACAAATTGATTTGGTTTTAAGATGAGACAACCTGATTTGTCATTTGACACAACAGAACACAACATACTTTGAGCTCTAAGTTTGAACTATTACTGCTAGGGAAAGCATTGATGGACTGCATTTGATCTGGTTCACTTCCTGCCTTCCTTTAGTTTTACAGTTTCTTTTTCTTGCAGGTTCTGTGCTACCATCATTGTGTAGAAGTTCACAACTACTTATGAGAAGGCCATGGGCCAGTGGAAGGATGAGTGCCTGCCTGCAGGAATATGCTTCATCAGCAACATGCTTTGGTGAATGGGAACTACAGCTGGCCTTAGGATCTGTGCTTAAAGGTGATGCTACTGGGCTGTAATCATTTAGCTTTGCTTGAAAATGTTTCCATCTCCCATGTTGTCTTCCACGTGATGGCATTTTAACTGTGTATATGGGTTTCTGTGATCTGAACATCCCAGCCTATTCCGCAAAGTCTAGAAAAATCAGTCTTGTTCATTGGAAGGGTGGGTTTGTTACCATGGTCCTCTTTAATCAGTCATGATCGTAGGGGCCACCAATAACAATGAAAAACATCTGCTGCTCCAGCCAGCTGTGAATCAGACATGCTAACACAAGCTCACACACAAATAACCAGTCCTCCTGGTCAGTAGGGGCTTGGATAGAACGATGCCGATAACCTTGCATGTAATTTTGTCGCCTATCTTCCCAAGTAACTCTCAAGATTTTCACAATGGATATACTTACTCTTTTCCGTCTTCTCCAGACTGTACTACAACAGTTGCAGGTCCTATTCTGGGAAGAGTTGGGTTTATCACATTGTTATTCCAGAGGAATTTAACCTTTGTAACTGTTCCAAGTTTAACTTCAGCATCAATGTAGCCTGTGTAAGTGTTGTCTGGTTTGAGGGTTCCCCTGTGAAAATGAACGTTTTACGGATGTGAGGCATGTTAGGATTTAATACTAATCACCACTCCTGTCAACTGAGTGGCTGTGATAGCAAGGGAGGAGAGAGTTAGTAGAAAAACAATATTTAGCTTATAACATGGTATCAAAATTATTTCCATTTCTCCAACGTAATTGATCCCAAATCAGTGTTTATCAGAATCAGCAAAGGCCTGAGATGCTACAGTAACACCTCCCAGGGAAGACTCAGTTGCAGGGTGATCCCTCTGAAGAAGATAGAGCTTGCTAGAGAGTGCCAGAATGTGTTCAATACTGGCAGAGTTGTTTCACGTGGTTGGATCTTACATGGAAGCCTACAAACTGGGATCAGCTCCTAGCAAATACCTGAAGATGTGAAGTCCTTCTTAGAGAGGTGGAAGTGACATAACTGTCACTGAAGAAAACCAAAAGCATAAAGCCCAAAGCCCACATCTGCATGCCTTCTCCCCAGTTTTCACCATTTCAGATATTTCAGTTGAAACAAACAAGGAAACTACAAATAAACAAGAGCACATGAGGCAAGCAAGCAGCTGGGGTAATGGCTGGACTGGATGATCTTAAGGTCTTTTCCAACCTGGCTGATTCTATAATTTAGTGTAAGCAGGTGAAGTTATGAGTAACAGAAAGTGGATATTTATATAGCAATTCATGGGGCAACGTTAGCAGCTGTGGTGGCAACGTTTTAGAAGTCTGTGAAAGGCTTCTAAAGGCCTTCTTTCCTGTTAGGGTGGTGAGGCACTGGAATGGGTTGCCCAGGGAGGTTGTGAATGCTCCATCTCTGGCAGTGTTCAAGGCCAGGTTGGACAAAGCCTTGGGTGATACGGTTCAGTGTGAGGTGTCCCTGCCCATGGCAGGGGGGCTGGAACTGGATGATCTTAAGGTCCTTTCCAACCCTAACTATTCTATGATTCTATGAAAGGCAGAAAGATCACAAGTCTGCTAGCATAGGTCCATCAAGACCTTGGTGGGACAGCAAACAAGTGATGCTGGATTCTGAGAGTTCAAGATCCTGCCTTCTAACCTTTTCCCTTCAAATAACCCGAGTGAACTGCCTCTGCATTTACACCAGTTTCAAATTTGATCTCTAAAGTAAGACCAATATAAACAGAAATCTGAATTAAATGTTTTAGAAGATAAGTTTCTTTTCTCTCCATTTTTTGACTTACTTGACAATCTGGTGCTGTCTTGTGTTCCCACCGCTTCCGTACAGGGCAATGTTTACATATCCTGTCACACGACTCTTGCCAGAGAGGGTCACAGTTACTTTGTACCTCCAAACTGCATACAAGAAATACAGTAAGTTAGATTGTACCCAGGGAGAGGCAGTCTCTAGAATATCAAGTATTGGCATGAACAGCTATTGCCCTGCTGTAAGGTCCGATCATCTGTTAACTGTAAAACAGGGCAACAAAAAGGATTGTTTGCAAGCAGTAGGTAGCAGTGGAAGCAATGGAAACTCACGAGGAAAGTCCTTGGCTTCTCCAGTGTTCAGGTAAAGTTTCACAAAGTCACTGTTAATTTTCCCTTTGAACCTATCTGCATAGTGACCCATATTTGGGCATCCCTCTGCTGGGCATGGGAAGCAGCGTCCCTAGCAAAAACAAATACAGCCATTAATAAACGTATCAATCCAGCCAAGGACGTCTTTTTGACATACCCACTTAGGTGGCTCTGTATCACAGTAACATTTTTTTCCCTTACAGATCTCTTTGTTTCTCTTACAGAAAGTCGGGGCTGTTCAGCCTGGAGAAGGCTGCATGGAGACCTCATAGCAGCCTTCCAGTATCTGAAGGGGGCCTATAGGGATGCTGGTGATGGACTCTTCATTAGGGAGTGTAGGGATAGGACAAGGGGTAATGGGTTCAAACTTAAACAGGGGAAGTTTAGACTGGATATAAGGAGGAAATTCTTTCCTGTTAGAGTGGTGAGGCACTGGAATGGGTTGCCCAGGGAGGTTGTGAATGCTCCATCCCTGGCAGTGTTCAAGGCCAGGTTAGACGAGGCCTTGGGTGACATGGTTTAGTGTGAGGTGTCCCTGCCCATGGCAGGGTGGTTGGAACTTGATGATCTTAACGTCCTTTCCAACCCTAACTATTCTATTCTATGTTTCTATGATTCTGAGATCTACTCTGGGTGTAAGCTAGCATAAGTAAACTGGATTTCAGGTGTCTAAATAAGAAAGACCCACTGTTTTTGACACAGTCCACCCTGAGGCTTTCAGAGGTACTTACGGATTTAAAAACATCATATGAAGCACAGGAATAGCCCAGAAATCCATCGGGGTAGATAATACTGTCAGAGTAATACTTGTAACTCCTCAGGTGATTGCAAGCCATGAAGTTCCGACTTCCTGCACAAAGATGTTTCCAGGTTAAATCTTTCACTCTGTTACCATTTCAGGAAAGATACTGGCACAGCAATAGCGTGTCATTGGGATGCATCATTCCTCCTCAAAAGCATCTTCATGATTCTTATTAATATCAAGCATAATATTAGAAGGTTACTTCTGCAACGAACTGATGCTCTAAGGAATGCCACTGACTCAACAGGTATAATGTGCAGATTTGAAATGCTTTGTGGAGACTGACCATGCAGCTCAGCTTAGCCCCTGCCCTCTCCTCACCCTCCCAAACACTTATTGAAGCAATCTGGCCAAGGTGCACAGTAGAAATGAGAAAGGCATGAAGCAGGTCTTTTGTAGGCAACAGTGGGATTACCATAAGAAAGGGAAAGCAAATGAAAAGCATTTAAGAGGGAAGTTCCTAGGGCAGTGCTGATTTGCTGAAGCTGAGGCTTTCAAAATAAAATTATTATTATTCGGGGGGTGTTTAAGAAAGCGAGAATCTTAAGATGAAAATAATGAATACATTGTTTTCCTTTGTGTTGTCATTGTTTGCCTGACTTTTGGTTAAAAAGAAGATCATATACAACACGCTTCTTTGTGCTTTAACTCCCCATTATTGATAACAAGTTTACTGCATAACAAAAAAGAAAGCAAAAAAATGTAATGCCTCCAACTGCACTGAATAAAATCTGGAGGAAAAGGCTGGTTACCACAAATGAGTTAGTGGATTCCCAGAGTTTCAGGTGTTTGCAGCAATGTAAGAAAAAGCTTGGATAAAATTGTGTAAAATCTCTATAGCAGAACTCTTGTTTTGTTAGTTTTGTTGGTTCTTTTTAATGTTCTGTGCAGTTTAACTTTCTAAAGACACTTCAACATTTTCTAATACTTAGAGCTGTTATCAGAACCATGTATACCAACAAAGAACTCTAGTTGAGCAGCTACATGCAATCTTGTTTTGGTGGAATATAAACAGATTCGATGACATTGCTTTAATGCAACTCAGATTGTAAAGGTAATAAAAAGCTAATTAATTGCTCTATCTCAGAAGGGTTGCAGCTGAAGATAGCCCATCAGGAGGGACTGTGAGCATCATTGTCCTACTCCACCCAGTACTGCTGCTGAGCAACTGCATAGAAACAAAGTGTATTGTTATAGACCCTTCAAAACTCTTGGCATGGTGTCAGTAACCTGTTTCTGGTGTTGGATTTCAGAGGAGGTAGATTTTCCAGAGGCAAACCCCTTTGTCTTGTTTCATTTTTAATGAGCTCTGGAAAATAATGCGGTTTAAGCATCTGAACAGTTTCACTGCCCTCTGCAGCTGCCATTGCTGCTGGGCACACCAAAAGCTAATGCAACACACCTGAATTAAGGAAAGTTAGGTGCTTACATTGTGAGGGGTGATCTATCCCTGAGTTTGTAATGTAATCGACACTTACCTTCCCAGATGCCATCGAGATCTATGATCTGTGACACAGGGTTCTTTCCACATCCGGGCATTTCCACTCCTCCGTTTGGATAGAAGTCAAGATGTCCAATAGCTGGGCTCATGCCAAAACCTGGAGCATTTACAGTATGGGTAAGCATATTTTCAGTCAATACTGTTTCGTACCCATAGCTGAAGTTTGTTGGTGCTTGGTATTTTAGGATGTGAGGTGTTAGTGATCAGTATGGTGTATTTGTTCTGTGTCTGTGGCACAGCACAAGTGAGTCTTGATGAATTATTAGGATAGTGAAGTGCCACATGGCATAACTAATGATTATAAATAATAATGATTACAGTATTGTTCAATACCCACCTAAGTAGGGGATTGTGGGAGCTGTATCTGTGTGGATAACATCAACAAACTCAGCATCAGTTTTATCCAGTCTGACTTCAATGGGAGTCCCTTGGAAGTAAGGCTGAGCAGGGTCCAGTCCTGAAAAGAAAAAACTTATTATGTACAGATAAAGAGATAGAAGTGCATTGTCCTATATAACGCTATGCTTGTATATAATGAGTCATCACATATATAGCGATCTGTGGTTCCTTATATTTAAGTAGTATAGTATATGGAAGACAGTGTTTTCTGCTCTCTCTTATCAAGTGGCTTTTCTCCCAAGAAGCAGAAATGATTACTTGTGTGAGGCCTATTAAATTTTAGTGATTTACACCAATGTTGAATTCCAGTATTGGAAAGAACAAGGATTGCTTTGACCACAAGTTTAGCTCATAATACCTCTTAAGGTATTTTCTCTGGGAGAGTAGTGGAGGTTTTACAATACTTGAAATGGCATCTCTGCTTTGTGAGGTTGCTGGAACACCTTATTTATAAATGAACTCATAATGCAATAAATATACCTATCTCTGTATCAACTATTAAGAAAACAAATGAAACTTCAGATATTTTGCTTGGGGGGGGAGAGTAATTCCTAATAATGTACGCTACTAGGTGAAAATGTATGTAGACGTAGCAAAGCAAGGTGAGAATGGGTGATGTATCAGGACAGGTAAGGTTAGCCTACTGCTTCTGAAACTTCAGGTTTAATCCATCCTTTTCTGGAAAATGATATTTGTTAGCAGTACAAAGCGAACTGCTCACTGTTGTACTGCTTATAACATGCATTGGAGGGACCTGCAAGCAGTGGGTGTTGTGTATCAGCTGTGCTGCTATATAAGAGGCCAAATCAAGCTCTGTAGAGGTTGCCACAAGTGTTATTGCGTGTCAGTAATACATCTGATGCACTGCGGGAGCCTTCTGGCTCTGTTAGCTGTAGGGAGTCTTTCCTTTCCTGTGTAAATATATGCAAGCAAAATAACTGTGGCACTGACTGCTTTCCAACCCTTACCAGAGAACCACTGCTCAGTGTACAGTGAAAAGAGGCTAAGTTCTACAACACCCAAATTGCCCTTTACTAAACTACAGCCCGCAATGAGATACGATAAGAAGAGAGAATGAGCAGCAACATCTTATTTAAGCAGTGGTGTCTTTAGTAGGAGTTGTGACTTAAGTCACTGACTTACCAGTAATTCTTCCAATTCCTGGACGCCTCTTGCCAGCTTCGCCTGCCACATGTGCTCCAAGGCTGTGACCAATAATGTGAACATTGGCTGGAGAGTATCCGTATGTGTCCTGAGAAAATAGAATATAAAAGATTACTAGCTCTGCTTTCATCAGCAACAGGGAGGAGTAAAAAGGTGCTGAAAAAGTACTTTCAATTTGACTATATATTTGGGAGCTATATGATTTCAGCATCTGTCAGTTTTGGTACAATACCTCACTTTTTCAAAACCACTTATTCAGGTGCTGCTCTCATTTGGAGGCTGATAAAACTTTAGAGAACTCTGTTAGCAAAGGCCTAAGAGGCTCTGTGCTCGTTTTAAATTCTAGACCCATTAATAACAACAGGAAGGTCATCTGGCTTGGAAGGCTCAGCCAATCAGGCACTCACATGGCAGTTCAAGCACCATGTGAAATATGGGTCAGAGCACTTCTCGACCTGGCATACTGTCTACTGAAGCAAATTATAGTTCTTTTATGGGATGTGTGTGTTGAGAGCACCTTAAATAAAAGAACCCTGCTGTTGCTACATCGCTCTCTAACTTTACAAAGAGTGGTTTTAGCACAACTCTGAAAATGATCGCCATGTAGCAGAACATATTCCTTGCTGGTTATGTTCAGATTCATGAAAGTTTCTGAATCATATCTCTTTCCAGTCAGCATTATCTATAGCTTTATAACCAGAAGTTTCTTACCATGAGGGTGTTCACAAAGTAAGCTATTTCAGCGCCCACAACACGGACATTGTTTGATGCCTGGGTGTACTGACATCTTGAGCCTTTCTTCCAGTCAATGCAGATGCAGTTCACATCTTCCACACTGAGTATCCGCTGTTTTGTAAAACAGAAGTAGAAAACAAAGCTCCCCACAGTAAATACAGTCTAGGTTTGATTCGTGTTGCTTGTAACATCTCCACTCATAAATGTCCCATGAATTTGTATGAGAATGTTTTAAGAACCAATACCTTAGCTTATGTATGTGGTCACGCCTGCTCAGAGGTGTATGTGTGCTCAGACCATACTGAAAGAGGGTGGTATGCTGTAGTAATGACCACACCATTGTTTCAAATACCCGTAGCAGTATTTGTTGCAGAAGGGAAAACAATATCAATACAATACTGACCCTTTCAATTTTTAATGTTAATCAAACTTTACATTAACACTAAAAATGAGAAATGAGCTCTACTCATGTCCTGACACACTGAAGTGATTTAAAAGTAATTTAATTGGAACTTATGTTTTTATGATAAAATAGCTATTTTTCCGATACAATTTTGTAAGAAAAAGTGCTTTTTTTTTGTAAAAGGGTGCAGAAATTGCTGGTGTCACTAAATATTCATTTCAGATTCATGGCTCTATTTGGGGATATATATGCACAGGCAGATACTTTATTGTCTGCCACAGAATCTGAAGCTTTGCTTTTCTCTTCTGAGCTGGATAGTTTGGCTAAATGTATTCTGCTTTAGCAGCTTTGGTATATTCATTCTTTGCTTTATGGTCAGACATTATAAAGCATCCAAAACAGTTTACAAGTGGCAAAGAACAAAAAAGGAAATAGAAGTGTATATGGCTGTGTTAGAAGTGGTAAAAATAAAAGTGCAGATAGGATTATTGCTTAATGGCAAGGAAAGTAAATAACAGATGTCCATACGAGGCTGATGTATTCACAATCCCATTTGCTCTGCTCTTTTCTTAGAAGATTTACAGACCATGTTTTTAATAAAGTTGGAGTATTGTGATAAAACACAGGCCACCGTAATAGAGAGAGAATGGGAAGATTTATCCTGTGCCTCTTACTACATCCTCATGAAAATTCATCATATAGAATTAAGGGATTAGCTGAAGCAAAATGTGAGCTGTCTGCTTGATTGTGAGGTTCTGAAAAAAATCTGGTTTAAGAGTGGGAAATAGGAGAATAAGAAATGAAAAAAACACCACTCTGCTTCTGATACTTTGAAAAAGTAAACTAACAAATCCAACAATCACACCTCGATGTTCACAAAGGGCTAATCAACAGAGATTCTCTTTTTCAATGACAAACTCTCAGATTTATTTTCTTTGCCCCTGTGTCAAAGAGAAGCAGATAACAGGGATGCAATAAATGTGAAATACATTTCAGTGGGCTTTCACATTGTTTCTCAGAGTGTTCTTATAAATCAAATAGGAATATAGAATTTAAACAAAGCTGTAGTTGTGTGAATAGTTAGTTGAAAAGTCTGATCTGAAAACTGTCATGTATGTCAACTGGTGTTTTGCTCTATGATGTAGGACTAGTACCTTTCATTAGCTGAAGCTGCAATTGAAAGCATGTTTACAGGATTTGAGAAGAACACCAGAAAACAGCTTGTTGAGACGACCAGAGGAAGTGCAGCTTGGTATGGAGACAGGACTAAGAAATAACTTGGGGAATCAGCAGAAATCAATGAAGCAGAGAGCTTCTTCTCAAGATGAGGATATATGTATTCTAGATGCAAATGATTTGAAAATGTGTCTTCTTCTGCTGCCCTTAGCATTAGCAGTACCGTGAGACAAATTGATTTGAAATAGAAAAAACAGATAGGAATGTTTTTATAAATGGAAACTAAGGCACTTTTTGGTACCTACCTTGCACATGTCTGACAGCCAGTTTTCTTCTCCCTTGTCTATGAAACCATGGACGATGAACCTGGTTAACCTGCTTGTTTTAAAGTTGGAGTAGCTAATGGAGGAATCAACTGCAGAGATCTCCTGTTGTAGATATTAAATGAACAAACAATTACATCTGCTTCCTGTAAATAGTTTATGAAAATTGCAAAGACCTGGACTATGCTGTATATGTATGCTGTTATGCAATGTTAAACTCATTTGTAAGCGTTCACATGAGTATGGCTTAAGGTCTGTATTTCTATTCAAAGCAAGTTTTGACACGTATCTTAGAGCAGCCAAGACTTTACTTTGAATGTGTCGTCTTTTGACCTGTGGAAAAGAATTACCCAATCATTAAGACATGCACGGTTTCTCACCACTTCCCAGTGGCCATACAGAAAACATGGGCTATGCTGCTCTGTGGGGGCTGGAGGATCATGAGAGTTCTGCTCCAGAGGCCCTGCTATGGAGCTGAAAAAGGCTGTCTCTTGAATAAAATGAAGGTTTCCAACACTTCCCAGGAGCACAGCTGGGCTCGGTGTTTATTTACTCTTTTTGCGTGTGATTTATTCATGTTTAAACTGCAGTAGTTCTTACTTGATAGCTATCAGGATTTTCTCTTGTGTAGAGGAGGAAGCGAGCATCTATCCTTTCTGGACTCCAGGGTAACTTATGGATTGGTCTTTCTGTAGTTCCAGACCATGGCATACTGTCTGAGAAACATCCCAGCCTATCATAGCAGACTTCTGAACCTGTAGCACACAGATCAGATCCATAAGAGATGACTGAGCAAAGAAGTGGAGCCGGTTAGTTATAATTCATATCATCTCTTCTCTGGACATCTCTCAGTTACTTGAACATCCTATGGTGTACAGAGAGCAAAGATCAGTAGTTGCACTCTCTCAGATCTTCAACACCTAGAGTTTATCCCAAGGAAAGAAGCCAGCCTATTGCTCATCAACAAAGTATTCAGTTCAGTTCCTCCATCAGTATCCTATACCGTACTTTAGGTATCTTTCCCCAGCTGTTGTTTTGTTTAAGACAGAGACAGCTGATGAGTTTCTCTTATTAAAAAGCCAAAATACTGCAAATAATCAGCAATATATTGAGACTGTGCTCAATGGCTGACTGCACGCTACATGGGAAGTTTTATACTATACAAGCTGGTGGCTTCTGCTGAATATGACGCTATACCACCATTAGCCTTCCTCCACCCAGTGTCCCCAACTTTTTCTCCATTTTTGTCACTAAAGAGGAGGACAAAACCCAACTTCCTAGCCTTGTTAGAGCAATAGCCTTGCTCTGAGATAGAAAACACCAGCATTTTTTGCATACTCCTAGGGTGATATTTCCAGTGTGGAGAAAAGGAAATACAACACTCACACGCTCATCTTGCCATTCTTGAACAGGAAAGTGACCCATGTAACATCAGTTGGCAAGTTTTAAGGCACCGTAGCGTAGAATGACATCTCACAAAATACAGCAGCATAGAAAGGCTATAGAAATAATAACCCTGTATACTTACCTTCTGCTGCGCTGAGCAGGCATAGTGCAAGGATCCAAATCCCAAGCATCTAGAACAGTAGAAGAAGAAGCAGGTAGTATCCGCTAACTCCCTTGATTAGGTAGTGCACTTAGCTCTCTGTTGCTGAATTTTCTCAAGGGTTCTGTGCCTGTCTTCTTTGCAGCATATAGCTATAATCACCAAGTATGAACATTATGTTTGCTTGCTCTGCTAGGGATTTTGAGGCTTCTAAATCTATTAAAGCATAGCTTAAATCTAGTGTGACTTTTGTCCAATGAAGCTATGCTTCCCATCGAAAATATAGTAGTTGTGTTAAAACTAGCCTAAGGATGCCTATGTGAGCTGCCGTCTCCTTTATGCTGCTGTGCCTTGGGAAGCCGTATACCTGACAAGGTAAAAGAACCCCCCCAAACCCTGAAGTACTTACGATGCCTCTTGGAAACTCCATGCACTGGTGTGTGCTTCATGCACTCTGCGTTTTGTAGTCTGCTTTATCCTTGGAAATGTTTCCAGAAAGATAGGAATATTTGTTGCAGATTAAAGTTTATTGATAACTGGTAAACAACTCTCATGGTTGTTTTCTCTGTAAAATTCCAAAATCCATGGGCATAGATTGCTTGAGTTGGTGTGCTGGAGCCCAGAACAGGATTGGAGCTGCAGAGATAGGGCAGTTCCCAGGCAGCAACACCTCAGGAGTGGGACACCAAAGAGAATGAGGTGGATCTTTGTCTCATTGCATTTAGGGTCTTGTTTTGGCTGGGAAGGCTTTTGGTTTCAGTGTTGTGTGCTTGAGATGTAAGGGGTCTACTGGGGAATTTAAAAGGGAACATCATTGTCTCTGAGTTCCATCCCTTGCCCTGCATCAAGTGACTTTGTATGTGGAATGCCCCTGTGCTTCTCGGTCTTTTACTCCCATTTCTCCACTCAATTTGGCAAAGCTTTATCCCTTTAAGAAAACTACTTAGTGGAACTGGCAGTCTCTCCATAGGGAAAGAGCCAGACCCTCCTCTGGTGTCCCTTTCATTCCCTTCTTGAAATAAATAGGTGTAGAAGAATGATTGTCTAACCCTTTGGATCCTTTCTATACTAACCCAAGTTCTGAGAAAGCCTTTCTCTTTGTGATTAACTGAGAGTATGCATGCTGGAAATACATAAAATAACATGCAAAATTACTCCAGACACTGTGACATGGCCACTTTGTATAGGGATGCTACAGAGCTCAGTACAGTGTTTTGCTAGAGACCTCAACTAAAGGGTGAAAATGGGCTATGCAAAGGAGCAGGACTAGACCTGGGAACCCCTCGCTCCTGTTCATCTCTATGAGAAGGCTGAAAGTGAACTCAGGAAGAAATGAAACCTTGGCTAACTCTTCCCCTAGAAAACTCTGTCACCTTGTCTCCGAGTTTTGGTTGTGGTCCCATGCCTTGGGGGCGCTGATGTTCCCTAGTCTGCCTCTGGGAATGGCCAAATGGATACCAGCTGTGTGTCTAGTGATCTGTTATCCATGCAAGTGGGTTTTATTTCTTAAGTAGTATTAAAGAGTTTTTTTTCCATTAAAAGTCACCTTTGATACAAATTTGGAGCTCAGGGCTCCCATCCTTAATTGAAGTAGCATTTTAGTTTGTAGATATGTCTGTATCAGTGATAACAGTGAATCGTTACATGCCCTAGTGTGCTGATAAGTTTTGACTCTTGTTCAAAATGAGGGAGGAAACTGATTTTCCCTCTTAAATGAAGAGCTGGTGGAAAAGATGTGAGTTAGGATTTTACCGTAGTTAGTTGACTACTCTTGTTCATCAGCAATAACAGAGGGCAAACTGAGCAGCTAGGCAGTTCCTTAGGCCATGGTCAGATGGGTTTCAGCTGCTTGCTTCTCCTTTGGGAAGAAGGATAGGGCTTGGATGCATGTCCCTCAGTACAACATAGGCTGCTCTCTGGAGGAGCCATTCTGGTCCTTGTTGTAGTCTGGAATAGGAAGCAGGCAGAGGAGAGGACTGGATTTCTGGTGCTGCAGGATGCCCTGGCTCTGTCCTGGGACATGGTGCAGTGCTTCGTGGCATTGTTCATGCTTCCTTTGCCACCTGTCAAGTCCCCAGGGAACTTTCTGTACTGCAGATTTCTCTTGGCTGAACTTCAGACATGTGTTTAATTACCCTTTGAATTCCATAGACTTGGATAGTCAAGGATACAACACTCATGTTTCTTTTCTTAAAAAAAATGTTCCACTTGTAAATCTATACTCATTGTAAATACCAAATCACAGAATGGTTGAGACTCGAAGGGACCACTTGGGGTCTTCTGGTCCAGCCTCTCTGCTCGCACGCAGTCACTAAGAGCACACTGCCCAAAACTGTCTCTGTGGAAGGAGACTCCACATCTTCTCTGGGCAACTTATTCCAATGCTCAGCCACCCACACAGTAAAGAAGTTCTTCCTCATGTTCAGGTGGAATTTTCCGTGTTTTCCTTTATGCCTGTTGCCTCCTGTCCTCTTGCCTGGCACCACTGGGAAGAGTCTGGCCCCATTTTCTTGACACCCTCCCTTCAGGTACTTATACACATTGACCAGATCCCCACTGAACCTTCTCTTCTGTAGGCTGAAAAGGACCATCCCCTTCAGCTTCTCCTCATATAAGAGATGCTCTAGACAATCATTCTAGTAGCCTTTTGCTGGACTTGCTTCTGGAGCTCAGGGTCTCCTTGTAGAGAACTGGACACAGTACTCCCAAGTGATGCCTCACCAGGGCTGAATAAAGAGGGAGGATCCTCTCTTGTCCTCCTGGCAATGCTCTTCCCAAGGCAACCCAGGACGCCATTGGCCTTCTTGGCCAAATGGGCACACTGCTGGTGGCTCATAGACAACTTGTCCACTAGGACTCCCAGGTCTGGGTCCGCAGAGCAACTTTCCAGCAGGTCACCCCCTGGCCTGCACTGGTGCATGGGACTGTTCCTCCCAAGGTGCAGGACCGTGCACTTGCCTTTGACTTTCATCTCTGCCCATCTCTCCAGCCTGTGTAAATCCTTCTGCATGACAGCACAGCACTCCTGGGTCTCAGCCACTCCACTTAGTTTTATATCATCAGCAGACTAACTGAGGAGGCTCATCCCTTCATCCAAGTCATTGATGAACAAGTGAAACAATACTGGGACTGGTGTTGACTCTCAGAGGACACTGCCAGTTACAGTTCTCCAACTAGACTGTGTGCTGCTGATCACAACTGTCTGAGACCTTCCGTTCAGCCAGTTCTCAGTCCACCTCTGTCCACTCGTCCAGCCCACACTTCCTGAGTTTGCCTATGACAGTGTCACGGGAGCAGTCAAAAGCCTTGCTGAAGTCCAGGTAGATGTTCTTAATGCTGTATTTCTACTCCTATTTCTTAGAAGTTTATCTGCAGAAGTGCTTGTACTTCACTTATCAAACATGGGGAAACAGGGGTTAATGATTTAACAACTCTTTCTTCTTATTCATTAACTTACAGTTTTGGTTTTATACTTTGAAAAGTGTCCCCTGCTTTGGTCTCTTCAAGCTCCAGGTGACTCACTCATGCCAACTTTTGCAGTAGTGCTCGTTTGAATGAGAAATAGTCAATCCCAGGTTCTGCAAAGCCTGGAGTTACTCAAAGTCACTTTCTCTCCAGACTGTCAGTGGTCAGAGCAAAGGTATGTGTTAGAAATTAAACAGTAGCCAGGTGCTGTGATCAAGCTTCTGATGTGGGGAACGCTGGAGGTTTGCCTTCATCTGTTGCTTCTGTGAAGGTGCTGTGTACAAAGGGCTGCTCTGAAGTACCCTGGTCTTGTTCTGTTTCTGCCCTGTCCCAGAGTGCTTTTGGAGGGCAGTGCTCTTGAGTGGGGCTGGAAAGTTTTGCACGATGGCATAGACTGTGGAAAGGAGGCATTTGGGACCATTCCCAGCCACAGGGAAGTGCTGAGGTCATGTACTGCCTTGAGAGCATTTGATAGACAGAGAACCTGGCAAATTATCCGTGTGGTGGGAAATAGCTCTTACTTTGAGGCAGTGGTAGAGCAAGGCTGCACAATGTTATAAGTAGATGTTAGCATGTGATCTCCAGTTTCTTGCATGGTTACAAGCACAATAAATGGTCAAACATGAAAGACATTGACAAGTGTGTTTGCAAAGGACTGAAAAACACAAAGGAAGCCACAGACAGTTTGGGCTTTGCTTTAATAGCCTTGTGTATCAACATCCCCATGCACAGGACTGATGGTTTGCTCAGCTGCTGTGTACAGAGCCAGTTGTAATCTAGCAAGGTGTAAGTAACTGGGGAACTCCATATGTCACAGTTCCATGGCCACAAAAAGTCGACCTGGGAAGGAAAAAACACTTGAATCAATATTTATGTATGTGTTTTCCCCCAAAGACAAATGCAAGGCTGTCAGCTGTCACCTTGAGGGCTGTTAGCTCAATCCATAATCCCACTTAAACCTTCCTAAGTGCCTGCTGTACAGAACAGTAGCATCTGCATATGAACAGGAACAAGGTGAATTTCCTTCTTTTGAGGACCAGCTGTAAAACTTGTGTTGTA